GGCTAGCGTTTTTTTCCCACTGGCACTGAAGTTGCCTTCAGATACGGTTGCTCCAATGTGCCTAAAAGCCAAATTAAAACACTTATTTGAGAACAACCCAATATCTTTAGAGCTAGGGAAGAGATACGTGAAGCATTAGCTACCCTGATAGGTGGGGAAAGCAGGAGACAAGGCACAAGTGGGGCCATGAGGCCACGAAGATGGGCACAATGTGCACAGAGATACCTCCTGCAAATACTCTTCCAGTCATGGATGAAAAACTCCATGATGGGCTATTATTTATGAAGTCTCTCACCCACAAATATCTTGTTGCAGACTGCAGTAGGCTCATGTATTTCTCTTCTCCTGTATAGAATCTCTTGCAGACCTTCTACTCTCTCTGTTGTTTTGGGAACATCTTCTAGGCCATCTACACATCCTTCTGAGATACGGTGACCATAAATGCACTTGGCTATGGATGGATACAGTGAATTATGGATGGATACAGTGCCAGGGTGATGTTCCTCCCTCCAAGCTCTCTTCTTCTCCAAATCCAACATGCGCCTCACATGCTCAGCAACCTTTGAACTAGCTGATAAAACCTGAGCTCTTGCTCCAGGGAGGGAGTAGCCTGGAGCACATTGTAAGATTGCAAAGGGAGGAAAAATTGGAGGAAAACATATTTATTTACACTCAATACCATCTGCTATTTTATTATCTGCTCGCTCAGCACCACGAGCTGCTGTTCAGTGTGATTTGCTGATGGATCAAAGCCACCCGAGGCATCAGGCTTTACAGTGTGTCCTGCCTCGCGTGGGGAAGATATGAGGCCCTGTGCGGGGCTGTAGCTGCTGGGGGCCCTGGGCATGGGCACTGCCTCTCTTTGGAGCTCAGTGCTTCATTTTTGGATCCTTGCTGAGCCCTGCCTGGCTCTGCGAAGGGGTGATGCCAGCAGGAACGCATGCCTGCGGCCCACTCGGTTTCAAGCTAGGACTAGCAGGGGCTGGGGAAGAGAGGCTGAGTCATGACAGAGGCCTCCTTGCCTTGGCAGGGAGCACGCCGAGCACCGTGAGTGGTGTTGACAAGGTGCCTGGAACATCATCACGGGCTGTCAGGGCATGCGAGCTGCAGGCAGCGGCTTGGAAAAGGAGGCAAGGAAGAACTTCTTGCCTGGTGTCTGTCTCCACGGAGGGCTTCAGGGATGCAGGAGGAGCCCAGAGGTCCAGAGGAAGCTGCAGTGGGGAACTGGGGGTCTCTTGGGGTAGAGGAGCTAGTGTAGCGGGGAAGCCCTCAGCAGTGGTGGCCATGGTCTTCTTAGATGTGGTGGGGATGGGGACGGAACCCTCACTATGGGTGATGGGACGACTCATCTCAAAGCAGGCGGAGCTCCTGATCCGTGCCTGGGAGGACAACAGCTGGTAGCCACCGTTGGCCTTTGGCTCTTAGCAGCCACCTAGCTGCTTTGGCACCCTAATCAGATTACTCGACTCAAGTGCTTACCACTTAGCCTTCTGCCCAGGAGAGTTGGTGGCTAAAGATGTTTGCAAGCTTATCTTTTGGCCATGCTTAGCGAGCAAAATGAAGGAATCGGGGCGGCCTCTGTGTTCACTCCTCCCAACAGCAGCCTCCATGGTCAGGATTTGCTGAAGAAATTGCCTAAATGGGAATCCACAGGCTCTTCTGCTGCAAAGGGACTGTGAGACTCCTCTCAGACACTTTTTCAGACTAACAGCCCACATTCAGGGCTCGCAGTGAGAGGCTCATCCACCTCCTGTGGCTCTTTGGGTCCATAAAGACCCACAAAGCTCTGGTAAAGCGTCTGGAGCTCCTTGTGCTCTTCGTCAGAGGGCTGGGAATCACTCTGCAAATGCCCGACGTGTCTGAGACCCTCTGTGCTGGTCTCACATGCACTCCACGTGCCTCCCGGTTTAGGTCCCGCCACCCTGGGGCCATCTGCTCACTGGTGGCCCAGCTGGCTGACCCGTCGTCAGCGCTGCCGCTGGCCTTGCTTGCCCTTGCTCCCGTCCGGAGCGCTGCGACCCTGCCTGCTGCCCTCCTCCTGGAAAGGGGATTAATTTGGCTTTGCCGTCTGGAGCTGAGATTTTTGGCAAAAGGCGGTTTCTTTGCAGGGCCCTGATCTTGGTCATAACGTCCAGGATGTTCTAGTGGTGCCCGAGGAGCCATGCCCATGGGCACAGGGGGAGGCTGACAGTCTCTCCATGGACCATCCACATGCAGGAATCTCCCTTTGGGTGCCTCCAAGCTGTTGCCATCTTGTCTTGTGCTGAGATCTTGGGACAAGGTGACACGGGATGCTCATGGGGATGCTGCTATGCCAGAAGAGGACGACAGCAATGCCCTCCTCTCCGCTGGTTACCAGATGTGCAGATGGGCACCCTGAGGGCACCTTCTTTTGGGAAAGTTTTCCTCTCCTGAGCCCCTACTTCGAGGCACGGGAGAGTCCTCCAAAAAACACCAAGAGCCACCTAAGAGGCTAGAACATGAGTGGGATGACAGATCGCAGGGACAGGACGTGCTGCTGGCTGTGAACGGCCAGGGATCCTGCTGCAGCCCCAGCTCTTGTCGCATAGAGGAGGGCTCAGCCTGCAGCTCTTGCTAAATAAGCAGCCCTCACAGCGCTCTTCACACTTCTCCAGTTTCAGCTAAAAGCAGAACATTCGCACACATTTTTCTTTTTTTTTTTTTTTTCTAGGAAGAAAAAGGAAAAGCATGACATGTCTCAGTACAAGATAAAGCAGAACAGCTCAACGCACCGAATAGCTGAGTGATCTCACAGGGTTTCCTGAAACCCAGCGCTGTGTCCAGCGTGGCACGTGCAGAATTTGAAGAGACCTTCCACAGAAATGAAAGCGAAGGTCTTGGACCCAGTGCTCCAGAAGAGTGGTGCTGCAAGAACTGGATTGATGACTGAAGCGAGTGGCAGTCCGGAGGAGCACCATGCAGCAAGGAGCTGCTGTCACTCTGCTGCCCAGTAGCTGAGCCTGGTACGTTTTGCATCAGCGTGCAAACAGCTACAAAGAAAGGTCCATCCAGGATGCAATCCTGTGTCACGTGCTCTAGGTGTCCCTGGTTGAGCAGAGGAGTGGGACTAGATGATCTCTAGAGGTCCCTTCCAACCTCAACCGTTCTGTGGTTCTGTGATCCAGGTGAGCCCTGCACTTTCAGGGGGCTCTTGGAGGGGCTTTCATCATCAGGTGCCAACTCTTGAGAGGCCTAGCCCAGCAGGTCCACATCTTCACATCAACTCATGTCCTGCTTGATGTCCTCGTCACAACTGGTCAACGTGGGGCCTCGCGGGCCAGTGCTCCTGGGATGGAAGATATGCTTTTGGGCATCTCCAGGGAAGGCTGGAGAAGACTTTGCTTTGCAAGACCACGATGCCAAGCAGCGCTATGAAGTGCCCTTTGGAGTTAGGATATTCTTTTGACCTGGGAAATCACCAGGTTTTACTGGCATTCAGCCTCTTCCCTGTGAAGGGAAAAAAAAAAAAAAAGAAAAAAGAAAGAAAGAAAGAACATCAAAGGAAAATGGCAAAGGAGGGCGATGTCCCGGTTCCTCAGTGCCCTTGGTGAGGAGGAAGCCAGCGCGGGCGCCAGGGCTCAGGTTTCCAGGAGCTGAGTGAAAGGGACAGACGCTACCACTTGTCCTGGCTGAGCTCTCGGGGAGGGGGAGAAAAGCAATATTGAATTGCAAGAGAGGAAGCGACCTGTTCACGACTGGCTCCTCTCTCCGTTCCTCACTTTGGCAAAGCCATGGCCACGCCAAGGATGACAGGATGAAGGGTGGAAAGGGGGCTTAACAGCTTGGACTCCATCATTCATGGGGTTGCAATTCTTATGAATAATACAGGGCTGCGTTCAGCTCCAGAGGCTCCCACATTTCCAAACTTGGTCTCCTGCATGCTCAGAAGAGCCCCAGACACTCATCCCTTCCCTTTAACACCAAGCAGATGTCCCCAAGAGCAGGCTCCAGCCCTCCTTCCCTCCAGCCACTCGACTTTCACAGTCCTTGCAAGGCAGACAAGGAGAAGACGCCGACCCAGACCCCAAAGACGAGGCAGCACGGGCAGGAGAGCGAACAGAAAGCAAGATCCTTTATTGTACACAGTACAGAACGCAGCGGCGCAGCACCCTGCTCTGCCAAAGATCAGATCCCATCGCTCCTCCGATTAACCCCTCCGGTCCCGGCATCCCGCTGCACGGAGCCAAGGCCCCGGGGCCCTCCCCACTGTCCAGCTCCCATCCCCACTGGCTTCCCAATGGGTGCTACGGAGCCGGAGAGGGCAACTGAGTCAACCAAGGGTTAATCTTCATACTTTTAAAGAAAAAAAAAAAAAAAAAAGTCAAAAAACAAACAAACAAAACCCCCCAAAAAACAAACAAAAAAAATCCCATAGCTAACTAAGGAGGAGAAAAAATTCCTATACAGCATTTACAACAAAAACACGTAGCCTTTTTTTGAGGGAGGGTAGAGATATGTATATATGAGTGGGGGAAGTGTTGGGGAAGAGCGCGGGGTGGGAAGCGGGATGTGGGGCCATCTGGTGCTCCCGTCCCGGCTCCCATGGACATGCCGGGCAAGGAGGGAAATGAAGCAGAGCTGATGGATGCCCAAGTGCCCCGCGAACGGTGAAATGGAGCGGACCGGATACTTCGTGCCGGCGAAGCTGTGAAAAAATGCGGGGACGTAGGGGGAAACTCGGGGCACTGCTCGCTGCCCCCAGGAGCCCCGTGTTCTGGCTGCAAAAAACCAACTTTGCCTTAAAAAAAAAAGTTTAAAACTGTTTCCTAAAACATACAAAGAAAAGGGAAGATGGAGGGAAAGAAGGGAGATAACTGCCCTCGTCACCTCCACTGACACTAAATTCATCTTGGGCAGCTGCGGAAGGAGAGAAGCTCCGGGGAGGACGTGGGGCAGCCAGAGAAACCTTGATGAGGGAGCACGATACTTAACAGGGACGCGGAGTAGGAAGCAGCTGGGGAGGCCCCCCACAGGCTGCATCCCCAGCTTTTCATCCCTCAAGAAGCCCCACAGCAACTGTGCAAATCGAAGCCCTTTCCAATGCCCGAGGCAGCTACGCAGGTCGGGAGCAGCATGAAGCAGATTGTCGTGACGGTCGGGCACGGAGGAACCCATCGCCGCCTGTATCAGAGACCTCCCTCCAACAGCATCTACCCCCACAGCCAGCACCGCGGTGGTGCTCGGCAGGAGGTGTCAGCCACGGGCAGTCCTACATGCTAGCCCTTGGACAGGGGGGAGGTCGGGAAGTCAACGGTGACGTGCACCAGCGTTTAGATCCCTCCGTTCGCACTCTGCACGTGCTTCCTTGGAGTTTCTTCTGATAGGAACAGCAACAAAAAAAAAAAGAAAGGAAAAAAAAAAGAAAAAAAAAAACATAATTCTTTATAAAACCGTGGCCCTTGCTCGCCCAGGCAGGATTTTGCTAGCACTGGTGGCTCCAGCAGCTGGGTGGCCAAGTCAGTAGGCGAAGCCCTCGGCGTAGGGGAGCCCGCCGCAGTGATCCAGCTCCAGGAGGTACGCGGGGCTGTCCTCGAAGTGCGTCAGCGGCAAGGTGTCGTCCTCGGCCACGGGGCAGTCGGGCTCCGCTTTGAGGAAGGGGCGCTGATTGTCGGGGTAGGCCATGGAGAAGAGGGCATCGGGGTCGCAGACGAACTTGTAGACGTACCGCTCGCCGGCCACCTGCAAGCACAGCGCGGCGTGAGAGGGGAGAGGCTCGTCCACCCTCAAAAAGGGCACTCTAATAGGTGCTTGGGCCAAAGTAGCTCGGCTAAGGGCAGGTGAGGGCGTTTAAGTCCATGGTAGGACTTGGTTGGGTTGGCCAACCAAATGTCACCTCCCAAGAACATTGCTGTTTCCAAGGACTTTGAGGAAAAACAAAAATAAGATTTAGGAAATCGAGAACCCAAACAACCTTCCATGGCAGGACTTGGTTGGACTGGCCAACCAACATCACCTCTCATGAGCACTGCTATTTGCAAAGGCTTTAAGAAAAAAAACGAGAAGGAAAGAAAAAAAGAACAAAGATGTGACCCTAAGCTACACCCAGACACGGCTAAGCCAGCCCTCCTCTCCCTCCCACCTCGGTACCACGGGGCAGGAAGCAGGGTCACCTTCTGCATGATGCCCTTCTCGTAGTAGTAGCGTAGAGATCGGCTGAGCTTATCGTAGTTCATGGCGGGCCGGTTCTTCTGGATGCCCCAGCGGCGCGCTACCTGCGGAGGGAACGGAAACAGCTGGGAAAGCTCAAGCTGTCCCTTGGACATGGGTCCTCCCTAAATAAAAATCAGAGTTGCAGAAAAGCTGATTGCAGATTGGAAACATGTGATAGTGGCTCTTTTCTAATGGCTGGACCAACCAGTACCTCTTTTGTGGGAAAGATTAAAAAAAAAACACACCCAAAATCTGAAGATATCCATGTGCTTCCTACATATCCATCTCTTTCCTGCAAAGTCCCAATGTAGTGTGCTATTATCTACCCAGGAGGTTTCTACAAGGTAACTGCAATAAAATCCAGCCCCATGGCTGAAAGGATCAAAGCTGGATGATTGCCCACAGAGTGGAACACCTGGTCTAGAGGATCTCCTAAGGCAGATGGATTTTGCATGCTATTTTTTCCAAAGAAATCGGAGATAAGTTCAGTTCTTTGCTCCTCAGCTCCAAAACAGAGTGATGAACATAAATTTGGGGCTGTCCTGGGCCTCCCTGCACCAGGGCCCTACAACAGGGGTGCAAGGTGGTCAAGATCACGTGGTCCTTCTGGAGCCGGGTTGTAGGGGCACAGCAGAACGTGCCCTTCCCTGGAGCGACGTGGTGATGCTCAACACTCCCGCAGCCCCTCGGAAATCTGGTCCTCTCCCAAAAGGCAATGAACGCCCTTGTTGCTACAGAGCAGCCCCAGCGCCGAGCAGAGCCTGCCGCGATGCAGACAGCGCTCAACGGGAGACCTCATCAAAAGAGGTTTGATTAGGGGAGCCTGCCAAAAAAGCCGCTTCCCAAACGTGCAATTTCAATGCACGGCACAAGAGATATTATGGGCAATTACCCACAAGGCGCAGCTTCAGCGCTACAGCTGCCTTCAATTACTCCTCAAAGAGCTCCTTCCTCCGTGGCACCCTACAGAACGCCGTGGTGCTGCCAGGCTGGCACCTACCCCGTCTGCTGCAACCTCTGCATGAAATCACCCGCAAATCCAATGGTGGGTAGAGATACGACTAGAAGCTCTGAAAAACTGCTTTCTGAGGGAGCAAGCGTGGCCTGTAACTCATGGTGGATCCAAGCCACAGCACCAGTGCCAATTTTCTGAGCCTGGGCTTGGACCAGCTGCTCTGGGAGGAGAGGGAAGACCAGAGTTGCTTTGCCACAGCTGCTTTGGGTGCAGACGGGTTGGCAGCAGGTCCACCACCACCCCAGCTCCTCTACAACCATCACCATCTCACCCTGGATCTACCACTACCACCGCACCACCACCACGTACCTCCTCGGGCTCGATGAGCTTGAACTCCATGCCGCGGCCTGTCCAGGCGATGAAGTGAGCGTTGGCAGGGTCGTCCAGGAGCGTGACCAGGAACTGCCAGAGCTGCAGCGAGCCGCGCCGCTGGTACGGGGGGCCCTCGCGGTACATGGTGGGCTCCTGCTTCACCTTGCCTGCTGGTGGGGAGACGGGCGCGCTTGGAGCACGACGCGGGTCCCCAGGGCGGCCGCCCTCGTCTTGGCCAGTGCCTCGGCCCTCCCGCCGGCTCCCCTCCTCACCTTCCAGCCTCTCCGGTACCACGCACGTGTCGTCGAAATACAATCGTGTGTCCTTCTCGTAGGGGAATCCTAGGAAGAGGAGACGCCCAGTGAGCATGGGGAGCCGTGGCCATCAGCGGCCAGGCCTGTCACGCACACAGAGTCCCCCTGTGGTGCCCAAAATGCCCTCGAGGGCTCGAGAGGAGCCCGGCCTCCCGTCCCCTTCCAGGGGAGGCCCAATGGAGGCCGGGCGGGAGGGAGGGCTGGGGAAGGCGGTGGGCACTCACCGTCATGGCTGCCGGGGAAGACGCCCCCGCCTCGCAGGTACGAGGACTGGCAGTTAGGCACTTCTGCGAGCGAGAGACACGGAGGGCGCGTCAAGGCGCGTGGCGGCGGCGGCTGACGTGCAACCGCGCGACGCCGCGCGGCCCCGCGGCCGCCTTCCTCGCGCCGTGTCCCCCCGGGGCGCGCCTCCCTCCCCGGGCCAGCACGGGCCGCCCCGCAACCAGCCGCCTCGTGGCGAGGCCGGCGCGCCCCGCGAGGCCGCCCTGCCGCCTCCCCCGGCCCGGCACCGCCATCTGCTCCCCCGCGCCGCCATCGGCCGCGGTATTTTTAGGCCTAAGGCGATTAGAGGATTTTTTCCGTGATGCGAGCGGCGTTGGGCACGCGGAGCCGGCAGGGACGGGGCAAGCAGGGGGGAGCTGCAGCCTCCACCCCCAAACCGCGGGACCCCCTCTGCTCCAGCCCAGCACGTCCCCCCCGTCCCTCGGACCCACCTGAGTCAATGCAGTAATCCCTGGGCTCCTGCTTAATGCCCATGGGCGCCTGGGGGAAGGCAGGCCCGGGCGGGGGGCCGGCCAGGCCGGCGCCCCCCTGCTCGTACAGGGGATCGTGATACTCCTGCTTGAATCCCTGAGGGGGCCGGGGGGCGCCGGGGGGGCCCAGGGGCTCCGAGAGCTGCCGCTGGTACACGGGGCGGTTGTCACCGGCGAGGCCGGGCTGCGGCGGGAAGGGCTGGCAGGGCTCCGACATCTGCCTCTGAAACCTGCGTTGCGGGGGGACAAAACGGGGAGATGTTATGGAGAGGGGTCCCACCAAGGTCAGGGCTTAAGGGGTGTCCACCCATGGCCTCACTGGCGCCGACATCCTCGGGGCTTCGGCCGCGAGCGGGAGCCGCGGGCTCCCGCATCCTGGAAGGGCCGGGATGGCGGAGGGTGAGGACCCCCGGGGCGGGTTACGTAACGGCAAATCCTCCGCGCGCCCCGCGGCCCCTAATCCCCCTCCGCGGGCAGGATTAGAGCCTGAGCTCTGCAGCGCAGGGGAGGGAGGCGTGGGGGCCGCGCTATTTCAGGACAGGCCATTCAGGCTCCTGGCTCCGATGGGGCGGCCGCAAGACGCGGTAGGATGGGGGACCCGTCACCAAAAGGTGCTGTCTCCCCTCACCCCAGCCAGGAGACCCGGAGCTCATCCCAGCACCGTGAAAGGCCATGTCCGCCGCCGCCATGCGGCTCGGTAACCGGATCGCTCCCAGCTGACGGGCCGGGATTACCGCGTTTCCGCTCCGCGTCCCGCTGCCCTTCCGCAGCGAAACCCTAGTGCCGCGGCGGCACGCCGGCCCTCGGCATAGCTCCGAGGTGGCCCCGAGCCAACACGGGCGCAGGCCACGGGCCCATCTGCCCCTCTGGGACCTCAGCCTGGTGGTGGGGGACACTGGAGCAGGACCTGCTGCTTTGGCATCATGCAAAAATCCTCCTTTCCTCCTCAAATGCAACCCCAAGGGCAATGGTCACCTGCATCTTCTGCAGGTGGCCAGGCCAGGGAGCAAACACATCCCCAGTCGGTGCCATCTCTGCAGCACCCGCATCTCGGGGCGTCCCATGACACAGCTGGAGCACCCAAATCCCTGCACACAACCAAGCATCACTTGGTCTTAGAGGCCATCACCTTCAGCCCAGCACCCACCATGGGCCCTTAAGCACCTGACCCTCAACTGGATGGCTGAAGGTCACCCATGGGCGATAACTTGTGACTGGAGAGTCACTTCCCAGCCTGCCAGAGCTCATTTTGAGGAGAGCCCCAAAGCAGGTGGGAAAGGGGACGGGCAAGAGCCCTGGCCCATCACAGCAGGGATTTGCCCACCATCATTGTGGTCAGTGAAGGGTCTTGTTACTGAGGGTTGAGCAGGAACCCCAACCCTGTGAGCAGGGAGCTGTCTCAAGAGGAAACAAAAAAAAAAGAAGAGATCCTGGCAGGAAGCAGCAAGGCTTGCAACAAGCCCGGATATTAATAAATGAAATAAATTAAAAAAAAATACCAGCCCTGCAAGTTTTCCTGCATCTCAGCTTCTAGCAAGAGGCCAGAAGTGCCCTCAGCAGCCAGGGAAAGCAGAAGTGAGGGGCCGGTGGCATCACGTGGCAGCGACACAGCCATGCGTGGCTTCCCGGGCACGGCCTGGAGGCTTCCAAGGAACCAGGGCAGCTCCCGCGATCCGCAGAAAGTGAGAGGAAGCTGCCACTGGAAGCACCCACACATGGGACCCCATTAGGAAAAAAGTCATATAGAAAGAGGCTACTCGAGGCCAAGTTCTGGCTTTGGTGCCAGGGCTAGACAAGGCACCGCCTGGGCAACACCAAGGGGCTCTGGAGCGGGGCGACTGGCGGATACCTCCTCCCTGCAACCCGAGGTCACTGATCTGACCCGAAGAAGGGAAAAAGTTCTTGGAAACCCCAGCCGAGCCCCACGCGCTCATTCGGGCAGCGGAAACGAAAGTGCTGAACAGGGGTGAGCGGCGGCGGGCGCTGAACAGCAGTGAGCGGCGGCGGCCCCGGTGAGCGGCACCCCACGAGGGGCGAGCGGAAGGGCACCCCGCCACGCGGCCCTCACCTGTGCTCCGCGGGGTATTGGTTTTCGGACATCATCTTTGGCATGTGCAGCGGGGGGTGAGGCGGCCGGGGCACGGCGAAGGGCGGCTGCCGCGCGTCCTGCAGCGGCCGCGCGCCCGGCGGGGCCCCCCGCAGCGGCGCGGCCGGGGCGCCGTGCGCGGCAGCCGCGGGCACGGGCGGCGGCGGCAGCGCCGAGCCCGCCGGGGACGCAGGCGCCGCGGGCGGCGTTAATGGCTTGAACCCGGCGGGGGGCTTCCTGTCGTAGGCACTGCGGGGACAAGCGGCCACCGGAGCGTCAGAGAAGGGCCAGGAGCAGACGGAGCATCCCTGGCGCCTCGGGGATGCCCGCCCTAGTCGGGGCTGTGCTGGCACCCCAGGGCTCCCCACCCTGCTGGGGCTGGGGGCACCGACGCAACCCTCCCAAGTCCAGCAGCCCCAACCGTGGTTACGTGGCGCAGCACCTTCTCATCCCAAAGCCAAACCCAGCCACCAAGAACTGGAGGGCCCTCGGCACCCACGCGGTGCCACCCGCCGCAGAGCCGGGAGGGTGCCCAAGGGCACCGCGGGCCCCCCCTGCAAGACCCACCAGCAGTTGTAGAGGCACTTGTCTCCATAGTTAGCACAGAGAGCCTGCTCGTGGCTACAGGACGACAGCTCGCAGGAAGGGCTGTGCAGTTCTCGCTTGATCTTCGCCGGAGGTGGCGCGTGCAGGACCACTGCAAAGAGAAGGAGGAGGAGGAAGATACAGGCACCCAGTGGCCTTGGCTCCATTGCCACAGGGCCAGAGCTGGCACAGGGGATGGCGACGGTCAGTGCTACCCAGCATGACATCCACTCGGGGTGCTCTCAGCACCCAAATCCTGAGGCCCGTTAACCCCAGCAGGGGCCAGCACAGCCACCCAACTGGCTCTAGGCACCACTGACACCAGCCAGACCCTCTGGCGAGGCCAAGGCAAGAAGCACCAAGGGGCCAGCGCTGCCTCTGCAGCAGCGGACACAAAGTCCCTTCGTGTCCCTAAGGTCAGGCTCTGCTCAAGGCCATCAGGCCACCCGAGTAGGACAGGACTGCCCAAAACCCAACAGCATCAGAGGAGCAGCCCCCTTTCTCAAGGGACTGGACAGCGACGGGGGACGGAGGGTCCCGATTTTCCGAGCCCACAGAGCAAACATCCCGCTAAACCCAAATCCTTCCCAGCCCCACCAGGCTCGCTCACTATATATAACCTTTAAACCAACTAATATACGCTTAGCCTAATCGACTTCTAGGAACGGACGCTCGAGGAAAGCGAAAGTGCGTCAGAGATGTCCACCTTAAGCAGTTCCTGGCCACAGCAGAGCCAGCACAACATCCAAGCATGGCCCAGCTTAGCGCAGGTGAAGGAACCACCCCGGGGCTGGCGGCAGAGGCTCCCCAAGGGCATTAACAAATCTCTCAATTTGCCAGGAGCTTTAAGGAGCTGCCGATTCCTCTCTAGCGCAAGCGAGCAGACGCTCACCGGCCTTGCCAGCTCCAAAGGAGCCCTATTTTCCCCCCATCGACAACTCTCTGCCACCTTCGGCATTCCTAGCGTTAACGCGGCCGCGAAGGCCGGGCCGGGCGCGGAGGGGAAGGCGCTTTGGCCGGGCTCCAGCTCCGCGCTCCGCTCGGGAGCGCGGCGAGCGGCCGGGCTGGTTCTGCGCCCGCCGCGCTGGGGGCTGGGTGTTCATTGAGAAAAAAAAGCGGCAGCCGCGAGCGGGCGCCGCCCTCCATTCACAAACAACCCGGGCGGCTCCATTCACGCGCCAGGGGGAGGAATATGTATTTATATAATTAATATATATTTATCTTCCCCTCTCCCCCGCTCCCCGCCAAGGGTTTAGCGACGCTGTTTGAGACAAGGGGTGTGTGCCCAGGCGGCCGCCTGCAAGGCTCATGCTGGTCTTCCAAATCTCGGCCTTTTCACTAAGTTCATTCACAAAAAAAAAAAAAAAAAAAAAAAAAGAAGAAGAAAAAAGGCACCCCGAGGCAGTTGTACTGGCGGCTGAGTGTCCTTTGGCGAGATGGAGGAGGGAAGGGAGAAAGTGAAGCAGGGCCGGGTAGGGAGAGCATCGATCCCCCCCTGCTCTGTATCCTCGGCCTCCAGACCCCCACCTCAAACCCAGGACCGGTAGCCCCGATTTATTTGCAAGGACCTCCATGCCAAAGAGCTCCCAAAGTTGTCACCGCGTTGTGCTCACACGGGGCTTCCACCCTTTCCTTGCCCTGCGCCACGATTAAAAGCCACCGATGGGTATTGCCCAGTGGGTATCACCCCCATTTGCAACCACACTTGGAGCACAACAGCCTCCACGGCCACCGAGCCACCAGGGCCACCAGCTGGGCCCTCGGCAGCCGCTGGAGGGACGGTCACCTGCGAGTGACCCCGTCCCTGCCTCCACCGCCCTGGCCGGGCACCGGCGCTGCAGGACGCACCCAAGGTCACACCGGGGGACGGGGCCAGAAATAGAAGCCCGCGCTGCTGCCTCCCTTTGTCCAAACAACCCTCCGCCGGAAACGAGCCTTCTTTAAAACAAAAATCATAATAATTTGAGGCCAGGGATAACCTGCTCCCCATGTTGCTCAATGGCTTTGCCACAAACGGCACAGCGGAGGTTAAAGCCTGATATCCCCGGGGAACAAATTCACCCTCCAGAGCTCCTGTGTCCACAGGGCAATGGGGAACACGTCCAATTGCTCGAGCCAAACAGCAAAATTCCCCCCAAAAACGCGAAGGGGCCAGAGTGAAGCCCAAATTCCTGTGAGCCTCTAGGGCGAGGAGTGGAGGCCCTGCCAGCAAAGGTGCCAGGGCCGGGGGTTTAGTGGACGCTTTTCCTCTCCTTATTCCAAGCACCCACGGTGCCCTGCTCAACCGGGAAGGCCACGCTTGCTTTAACCCCCCTGAAAAGCTTTTAGCAGTGGGGAGAGCTCCTTTCAAGCAACAAATTCACTGCAGCCCCAATAATTCGGGGTCTGTGGAGGCACGGGCGGGTGGAAGCACATTTAAAGCCTCAAATGCCTTTTTCTTTTTTTCCCCCTCCTTTCTTTCTCCCCTCTGCAATAGCCCAGAAAAAGTCCCTCTCTCCTGCCCGAGCTCTTCAGGTTACAAGGAAACTAGAGACTGCCAAAAGGCACTGGAAACGGCTCCGGCTCCGAGAGCCGCCCTCCCACGCACGCTGCGGTTTATACCGCTCCGGGGCTGTGCTAGGATGTCAACAGCGGGTTGCGGCACCGGCTTCACGCTCGCCTTTCATCTCGGGGGAGAAAGGGGCGTGCAGAAGTGTTAAAAATCATATCTATAATAAATTAGATTTAAAAGGCAGCTGAATCTTGGGTTGTCGGCTGCGGCTTAATGGCCGGCTTCCCGCTTGCTTAGAAGTAATCAAAGAGCAATAATTAGGACGGGGCTAGAGTAGGGTAAGAGAGCCTGCGCTGCGTGCTCCGACAGAGCCGGAGCGGAAGAACGGAGCATTCGACCGCCGGCAAAATCCGGCTGCCTTCAAGTCCCGTCGCCGACTGCTTTAGCAGCCACCCCCACGGCCAGCGAGGCCAAACTGCAGCCCCAAAACGCCCTGCTCGGCCGGAGCCCGGGGTTGCTCCTGGACGCGATGGGGCACTAAGAGCCCCACGCGGCCACGCGCCGACTCAGCCGCTGCTCTTATGCAATTGGAGAGGGAGCGCGTTTTCACTGGCTTCCTTTTAAATACGCTCGCTCGCCAGTGATTAATGCTGCTTAAAGCAGCTCAAGTTTCACCGCTTGAGTCGGCTCCTGCCAAAAGCACCGGGCTGCAAAAAGGAGGGGGAGAAAGAAATAAAAAAAAAAAAAAAAAAAGAAATCAAAGCCCAGGGAGTTGTAGGGATTGCGGGTAACCACTGAGCCCGCTCGGGAAGGCGCCTGTGTGAACGGTGACGGGTCCCCCAGGAGCCCAGAGAGGGGCCCGAGCTCCTGTCCCGTGCCGGGCTACAGCTTCCCGGTGGTGAAAGAGGGGGGCTAGAAATTTAACCCTCCGCCAAAAGGGTGGTGATAAACTGTGTTTTCCTCAAACCCTGCCAGTGCTGCGGCCCCGATCGCGGCGCTTTCCCCGAGGATGGCACCTCTAGCCGCAGACACACGCGCACATACCCCCCTGCCCCACAGGGAACGACAAAAATCCCCTCCGGGCGCTGGGCACTTACAGTTGTCGGCCTGGAAATCAGGGACGAACTGCTCATCATCGGGGACCTGAGCTGGGGAGGGGGAAGAAAGAAGAAAAAAAAAAAAAAAGACAAAATGGGGGGGGAAAAATAAAAAAAAAAAAGGAAGGGGGGGTTAGAACACACTAGGTCCTTCCGGATGGGATCGTGGGGGTATTTGGCGGTGGTGGGTGGATTGGGGGGGTGGAGGGGGGTACTTGCCTTCAGCTAGCCAGGCCTCTTGCAGCTGGCTGAGATCCTGGAAGAGCTCTGCAATGAGAGGGCCAGCTCAGGGCCGAGCTCAGACGCTCGCCGGGGGGACGGTGCCCGGCCCCAGGGCGCCGCGGCGGCCACCTACCCTCCGAGTCGTGCGCCAGGTCGGTCTCCGGCAGCTTCCTCTTGCGCTCGCCACCCGGGCGCCCGCGGGCCTCCTCGGCACAGGCCTTCTACAAGGAGAGCGTGAGAGTGGGGGGCACGAGGGGTGCGTGGGGAGGGGACGCCCGCGCAGGGGGGACACAGCCACGCACTTACCCCGGGCCCCATGAAGGGCACCTGCTGGTCGTAGAAGCCGTCCATGCTGGTGCCCCCGGCGAGCTCAGCATCGACGCCGGCGCGGGCAGGGGCTCCCGCAGGTGCAGGGCTGCGGGTGCAAAGAGGAGGAGGGGGGGGGGAAGGCGGGGTGTGTGGGGGGGAGGAAGGCTCAGGCCTTGCCGCCGCCCCCGGCGCTGGCGCCGTGCCGGGGCCCGGCCTCGCCAGTCGCCTTCGCCGGGGGGAGCCGCGGCGGGTCGCAGCCCCCCGCTCGTGATGTCACCCGATTTCTATAGAAACGGCCGTGACATCACGCGGCGCCCGGGAGGGAGGGAAGGAGGCAAAGAGGGAAGGAGGCAGAGAGGGAGGGAGGCTCGTCCGCCGCCCCCCCCCCCCGCCGTGCTCGGCGCCGCGCCGCAGCCGGGGCCGTTCCCACGCCGCCCCGCGCGCCCCATTCATAAACTCCACCTCCCTTCCCCTCCCCCGCAAGCGCGCGCGCGCGCGCCCCCCCGCGCCATTCACACCGCGCGGCCCGCACCATTCATAAACACCGCCCCCGCGCTGCGTACCCGAGCGGGCCGCGCCGCGGCTCCCCCGCAGCGCAGCGCGCCGGGACCGGGACCGGGACCGGGACCGGGACCGGGACCGGGACCGGGACCGGGACCGGGACCGGGAGGGCGCCGCGCTCCGCGCTGCCGCTCTGCGCCGTCCGCAGCCCCCGAGCGGCCCCCAGCTCCCACCCCGCCCCGCGCCGCTTGTTTACCCTCGGCACTGTCCAATGAGGAGCCGCCGCTCGGGCGCTCCCGCCGCCTGATTGGCGGCATCGCCGCCCCGCGCCCGCCTCCCCCCACTCAAGGGGCGCCATTGAGTTCGGCGGGGTGGGCGGGGCGAGGCGGCGGCAACCAATGGGCGAGCTTTTATTTGCATGGAGCCTCCGCGGACGTTTTTCATTCATAAAAAAATAGCAGGGGGAAGCGGCTCGCGGGCGGGGCTGGAGCGGGGTGGGAATTAAAGGGGCCGCAGCCCGCTCGGCGTGTGGGGGGGATGGGGCTGAAAGGAGCATGCTTGGGGAGTGGGACATATTGAGGGAGGAGGGGGGCAGTCTTCCCTCCCCGTGGACACCCTCCGTGCACGCTTTTCCCTAGCACCTGCAGATAAGCATGCTCTTGGCCTGCAAGGGCAGCTTTGGAACCCTCTGCTTTTAGCCCTTGTGCTTGGCAGAGTCGTGGCTGGGGAGATTCTGTCTGAGAGCCCTCTCCTTCAGGACCCAGGGTTAAATCTCCCTGAGGAGGCTTGTGAGGGTGCAGGCCTTGGCATCCCCGTGTCACTCATGGCCAAAGCCACATGTGCCCTTGCAGGGCTATGACCTGCTTGAAGGACCGGCCATTAGTCTAGGACGGGATGCTGCATGTGGTGGGTACCCCTATGCTCCCCACCCCCTGGCATCGCTTTGCAGAGTGCCTCAGTTTCCCTAACCATCCCCCACAGGGAGATTGGCTTCAGGGCCCTGCCAGGTGGCTGCTGCTGCAGGGTGTGTGGGGAAATGATCCCCAAAGGATGCAGTCCGGTAAAGCCTGGGCTGCTGCTCGGTGCCCTCAGAGCTTCCCAAGTGTCCTCCATGCCAGGAGAGGCACTGGCTGCCACAGGGTCCATTTGGGATGAGCTGAAGCCCCCGGAGAGGCCATTTGAGTGGAGGAAGGGGACAGGGACAGGGTGGGGGGGACAACTGGCGCCTGCTAAATTTAGAAGCTGCTCCAGAAAGAGAAGAACAGAACCCACCCCCCAGCCCTCCGCCAGCTCCAAATTTAGCCCGTTGCTGGCGGCTCCCCTGGCCAAGCGGGGCTGCGAGGGAGGGACGCCGCGGGCTGGGGGGGCTCAGTCCCCCCGATGGCACCTCCAGCCACCCGCCAGGGCCCAGCCGAGCACTTCATTCACCACCTTTATTGGAGGGAAGCCGCGGCGCTGGGGACGGCAGGGGCAATGCCAGCAGCGCCGCGTCATGCAGGGGTACAGGGGGAGCGGGGGAGCTCGCAGGCGCTGCGGCGGGGACGGAGGGTCAGGGCGCAGATGCTGGCACCAGCGGCGGGGGCGCCGGGCCCTTCGGCCGATGCGATGGCAGCGACTCTGCCGCTCTGCCACGGGAACCGGGGTTTTATTTCACGCTCCGTCCCGGCTGTTTTCACCTGCTGCCCCGGGAACAGCTGCCTTAGTCCTCAGCCCTTCGGCCATTTCCACCACCCTGGGGCTGGCCCCGGCGTGGGCTTGCGCTGCTGCATGCACGTAGCCCCCCGCGCGCCTCCCCATCGGCCTCCTCCCCAAAGGGGCCCCAGGTTGGTGCCGGAGCGGATGTTCTCCTACCCGTGGGCACCCGACAGGCCCATAACCATATTGTCCTTGACGTGGGGAGGAGGGAAAACAGCCCCTTTGAGCAAACTGGCTGTACACTCTGAAGCGTAATGATGGCCATTCAGACCCTGCCGCGTAGTGCTGTTAAAGGGGTATCGCCAGTGCGATGAGGGACGGGGTGTTGGGACCCCATGGCCAGTGTGACTCTTCCTAGTGGGGGCTCCGTGGCAGTGGGGGCTGCAGGGGGGCTCATGAGGGACGAGCCTCCCGGTCCCAAGCGAGGGGCCCAGAGTTGCTGCCCCGGAGTGAGGCTGATTCCCTGCGGGTCGTGAAGGGGCTCCTGGCAGTCCCTGTAGCCCTGCAAAGGGCCCCCATGGTTGGTGTCTGCCCGAGAGCCCCGTCCGCCCCTCTGTGCCTCTGCCCCAGCTCTGTCGCAGGGGCATCTTCAAGGGGGGCCACAAGGTGCCTCAAGGGGCCACCTGGGCCAGGGTGGGCTCTGCCGCGAGCTCAAAACCATCCCCAAGGCATCTGCAGAATAAATACATAAATATGAAGGTCCGGAGCAGAGGGGTGCAGGAGGATGTTCCCTCCTCGCCCCATCCTTCTCAAAACGGTGCCTCCTCCTGTTCATCCCCATGTGCTCGGCTGGGGCAACCTGCTGCGGGCCCGGTGGCCTCTCTTCTTCTCTAAGGCCACCAGCAAAGGAGGCTGGGGAGGCCAAAGCTGTCGAGGTCGCTCCAAGAGAGGCGAGGTGAGGGAAGAGGAAATAAATAATGTCTGGAATGGGCTGCTTTGGTGGGCAGGAAGCCAGCGCAGCCCAAAGAAATCCAAAACCCACGGAGGATCCTCGGGGAGGATGGAGAAAATAATAAATAAGTGAAGCTCGCCTTGTTCTCGGGCACTTAAATAAAGCGTAACCGTCAGTTCGGAGGCTGCTCCATGTGCTTCAGGCTGCCTCTGCGGGTGCAAATGCTCGTGATGATGATGGTGGAGAAGGAACCTCCAGGAGCTCGCCAGGACCCCTCCGGTCACGCTCTATGCCGGGACAGGCGGCTCCGGAGCAGAGGGTTCGGAGATGGGGGAGCGGAGGTGGCGATGGGGGTGGCCCTTGGCCCTGGCTGTGGCTCCTGGCTTCAGTCACGGCTTCGGGTCCTCCGCTTGAGGAAGAAGAAGCTGCTCTTCTGCGGAGGGCCCAGCAGCATCGGCACTTGGCTTTTGTGCGTAATCTTGACCTAAAAAAAAAGCCAAGAGCTCAACTGGCTCATGCAATGCTTGGAAGTCTCTGGAACTGGGACCAGAGCATGTGGAAGGGGAGCCCCCCTCCCGGCCATCCCCATGGCCTCAGGTTCACTCCCAGCCCCGCGGACTCACCGTGCAAGACGGCTGCATCCAGGGCTCGCCGTCCACCTGCATGGGCAGCAGTTTGGAGGTCCTGCAAGAGGCAAAGAGAGGAGATGCAGATGGGGATTCCCTGCTGGAGGGAAGCTCCTGGCACCCAGGTACCCTGATATGACAAGGTGGGACCAGGGTGTAGAAGCGGCACGAGAGAGCGTCCAGCTTTCACCACTGGTCAACAGGGCTGGGGAGATACCTGATGGTGACCGACGAGCATTGGGCCAGCCTCTTGCCAGCACTCTTGAGTCCTGTGTAGATCTGCCCCATCTCCATCGCCCCCTCCAGCCCCACCACCTCCAGAAGGTGGTCGCTGAGGTCTGCAAGAGAGACGGAGCTGCTCAGCCCCCGGCAAGCCCGTTTGGCAGGAGCCCAGCACCGGAGGGATGTAAGGAGAGACAAGCTTCCCGCCAGCTGAGTCAGTGGATCGATGGCAAAACCTTTTATCTCGCTCCGCACTGCCTTTTCCCCATCCCCTCCCTGATCCCTGGGGACCCCATCCTCAGCTAAGGAGCCAAGTGGCAGCTGCATTTCTGCGGCGTGAGGCTGGATCCTGGAAGCGGAGGCCCTGGGGATGCTGTCGGGGTGATTTTGGAGACGCTGGAGGCCACGGAGAAGGTGCTGGAGGAAGGGCACAGTTGTGGTGCTGCTAGAGCCAACTCGGCTTGATGTCCCTTGGACCTATCACCTTGCATTGGCCAGGGTCCTGAGATCCATCTTCCCCCCAGCCAGTCCTTGCTGTCTGTCACCCCACCGAGGTGACAGTGGCACTGGAGGGCTCCGTGAAGACTGTAAGTGGTAGCTCCCACAAGAAGGAGCCTCACGGTCATCAAAGCTGGACCCTGTCCCCAGACCGACACATGAGCTTGTCACCTGCAGGTCGGCTGCCACGGGGGCAGCGAGCGGCTGTGCGGCTGAGAAAAGTGTGCATTATTTATTTGCTTTATTTAATTTTTTTTTTAAGCACTAGAATATTGAGTGCAGTGCCAAAATGTCTCCCTGTTTGGTGGCAAAAGTAACCCATGTCTTTGGTCTCCAGCTCCCCCAACAGAGACTTGCTCATTTGCTTGATTTCTCCTCAGAAAGGGCTCGATGTCTCATCAGGTGCTTCCCCACCTAGCTCTCCATACCAGTGCCAAGACATTCCTGAGGGTGGGAGGAGGATCTTGAAGCAAGTGAGACGTCCTCACTGCTCTCCGGAGGTCCTCTGGCCTGGGGCAAAGCTAGAGATGCTGAGCGGCATCTCCAGCCAGCTCTTTGCCATGCCACATGGCTCAGCCTGCAGATCTCCTGGGTACCTTTTTCCATGG